ATGCATCCTTGGAATTTATCTGAAAGAAGAACTCAGTCCTCGGTGAAATTCATAAGGATCCTTAGCACTGGAACAGTCTTTTTGTGGGGTTCGATGATGTAGCCTCCTTGAAACCAGGCCGTTTGAGGATTCTTCCTTAACTTTGAGAAACACCTTATGTTACTTTGGAAATTACACGATACATATGAAATGTACAAATGTAATATATTCATAGTTTGCAGAAACATACAATGCCAACATTTTTTTCTGGCGACTGTGCTGCTGCTTTTACCCTCAACTTTTCTTTTTGTTTCTTGTTATTGTTGTTGTTGACATCCTTATTTTTTTATGTAGTTTTTTTATGTTTTATGTGTTGCTGGCTGTGTATGTGTGTGTTCACAAAAAAGAGGAGTCTGTAAGTATGAGTTAAATTCTGCCTTCAATAAAAACAGAATTGTTAAAAGAATGTAAATACATGTTCCAGTGTTTGATACATGTGTCATCAGTCTGCTGAAGCAGGAGGTCACACTTTAATGTTGCAGGTGTGTGTGTGTGTGTGTGTGTGTGTGTGTGTGCTTGCGTGTGTGCGTGTGTGTGATGAGTCAGTGGAAGGGGAGAACTACAGGCTACAGGCAGAAACAGTGAAGTAATATGAACTCATGCGACTGGGTGGAACAGAGACATGTGCAGGCAGTCGGGCAGATCGTGACTGAAAGAGTTACAGCAGGGAGAGATGAAAGATGAGAATTATATGGACTGTGAACTGTGAGTCAGACTCAACATGTATTGATTTATGTTTTAACAATTATTATTGATCTGAGGAAATGCTCTGTTTCATATTCCTACAATATGTTTTAAAGGACCAGTGCAGCATGATTTATGTTTTTGTTCATATTTTTTTTATTCTCTTCCTGTTTTACACCATCTAAATTTTTCCCAGTGATTTTATCACATTATGACTTGTTTATGATTTGGGTTTATTTTTCATGACTTCGCGACTTTATCTCTAGCACCACCTTTAGGCATAACTTGCAACTTGTGAAAAAAATATCAAACGAGGCACAATATCTTGTCTGGATCATTTTATTGTCTTTTTAACTAAAATAAAATCTGTGTTGTTTGGAATTAATTATAAGTTTATGAACCTGAGAGGTCTGGCTAAAGTTACTGATCTTCGCTGATGCACAGATGTGAACACTCTCAAAATTATAACGACATTAAATGGATAGTTCAGATTTTTTGAAGTGGGGTTGTATGAGGTACTTATCCAAAGTCAGTGTATGACATAAAGCAGATGTCAGTCGGCATGCTGCCGGTTTGGAGAAGGAGAATCTGGCTGGTGTCCAACACAGAAGCTAAGCAATGTACTGCCATTGTTAGGGCAGCATCAAAACATGTTTAAGCCTCATAACAAAATCAAAGTCAGTTTAAAAGTATTAAGAATATTTCAACTCCTTTATCTTCACTTCAGACAACCCATTCCAATATGGAAGCCATTAAAAGGTTAAGTTCCCCATCTATGCTCTAGTCAAAGCCACCAGACTCCATTAACAAAAACAGTCATTTTAGCTTGTTGAACATGGAAGCTGCTGGTCTGCAGCTGCTTTGACAACTTAGTTAGTTTGCATTACTATGTGACTTTGGTGAATCCGATCTATCCCTTTAAACGCAAAAGTCACACAATAACACAATTAAAATAAATGAAAATAATTTGAGGCAGTAGAAGACCAGCAGCTTCTTGTTTCCAGTGTTGTTAAATCACTGTTTTTCTAAACAGTGGCTTTGAAGAGAGAAATATAACAGCTTCATTTTCATGTTGGAAATCACTGTCTGACGGTGAGGTAAAGAAGAGGGAATAATGTAAATATAGTATACATTTAAGCTGATGTCCACAGCAGTAGATCATTTAGCCTCCATGTTGGGACTCCAGCCTGCTTCTCCAAACTGGGGGTGTGACGACCGCAATCTACTGTAGGTAATACACTGTCTGTGGATCAGGACCCCGTACATCTCCACTTCAAAAAATCTGAACTATCTTTCTAATCCTTCCAGTGGCTCCCTGCAGCTTTAACAGAAAATTATATGGAAATACATTTTGATTTTCATTTATTGTTGCAGGCCTAATGTCATTCTTACATTCTTTTACTGCAAAAATGCACAGCCTATATATCAATTAAAAAAATGTTTCAACATTTCCTCAATTAAAATGTACATCATATGTCTACGGCCTAACAGCTTTTTCTCTAAAAACTTCACCAGTTACAGTAGTCTTGAGTCTTCCGAGCTAGGCTATCTGTGGATTCCAAATCCAAAAAGGGAAAAGTCTCAGGGAAAGAGAATTTTATAGATTGTGGACAAATTTGTTTGCTTTCATTGGCAAGGCTGCAAATAATCAAGAATAGCTCACTGCAGAATGGCCTCCTTGTGCTAACACATATTAATGAATTCTAATTTAGATCTATTAGTAATGATGATAGGCAACACCAAACGCTATAGAAGACTTTTTTAGGTAGCTAAAAACATTGCAATTTACTTTCATGAACTGAAAACACACTGAAAAAGCGACAGCTAAAGCTACGCCTATACTCTGTGAATCTCAAGTTACACCATGGTTACATTACCTATCCAACGTAAGGTGTACAGAACCCACATGTCACTCAGTGCAGCCATACCCTTAATTATGCATAACTTAAAGACTCAATAACACGTCAACATGTTACAGAAAAATTCAACCCCATACAGTTGTCATGAACTGAGAAATTAGCCATAGAGACAAAAATGTTTTTTGTACCAGGCTGTAAAAATGCTGTTTATTTCCTCTGTAAAGTTGAACATATTAATATAGGGGTCTATGGGGATTAACTCACTCTTGGAGCCAGCCTCAAGTGGTCATTAAAGGATCTGCACTTTTTGGCACTTCTGCCTTGGCTTCATTTTTCAGCCCCGAAGGTTATTGCTTGGTTTCTAAGCAGGTTTATGGACATTTATCCACATCTGTCTGAAACAGATTTTATGGCAAACTATTGAATTGTTGGGACATTTCATTCAGAACAACAAATGTCAACCTGATGGTGGTGCTGGAGATAAAGTCAGGAGAACACCAAAGTTGATTTACTCTCTGGGGAACATGAATGTTCGTACAATTTTTTATTTCAGTCAAACAATAATTGTTATGATATTTAAGTCTGAGGTTTTGTTTGCAGTCTTTGACCAACAAGATTCCAGCTCTAACTACAGATGAGCAGAAAGGGGACTTTTCAATAAACAAAGAGGATTCAGTGCTGTGTTTCTACAACACATGTCGCTATAAACACATGCTGGGCAGCAAAGTAAGAAAAGAAAAACCCGGATGTGAACTTTTAGGCCATGTTCAGTCATTACAGTCTGAAATGACACAACTGTAAGAGTCTAGACTGGATTGTTATGTTATTGATACCAAAATAATGATATTAGATCACATGAGAAGACGAGTATTTGTATTTGCTGTCATAGTGCACAGCACACAGCTAATAGTGATGAGGATGACTGTGGGCAGATTTTAAACTATGATCATGCATTTTGGATGACTTTCTGAAATTAAATTTTGGTTCAACATTCTGTTTTGGGGATTGTTGTGGCCTGACATGCCTGATTTCATGGTAGCTTTTCTGAAAAAATTGCAATGCATGTTGTTATGTTTACAGGCATTTTTCCAATTGAGTTTGAGGGGCAAGTGACAATTGCAAAAATAGCTGTGATCCTGTCTTGGACTGCTAGCTTATTATTATGAACATTTAGTGTTTTCCACAGAATTAGAATCTATTTGTGATGGCTGGGGGTGTGGGGGTAGCCACAGCTGATCACTACAATGAAATGAGTTTTTACTTGTTTTGATGGTGACTGGTGATTGGACAAATTGCAAGGTCGCACGGAATTCACTGAGGTTGGCTGAATTTGTGTTAACTGTTGCGATCGCAACATCGCAACTTCCTGGCGGGGCTGTCTTAGGTAATTAACTTTGGATTAAAATGATGGAAAATCTCAGGACCCATGAGGGCCTCCAGACCTCAGTTTGAGTCTCACAACAATGAAGCCAACAAGTGCCAAAAACTGCAGTCCTCTAATGGCCACTTGCGTCTGCCAGTCAATCCCCATAGACCCCTGTGGTAAAATGCTCAACTTTACAGCAGAAATAAACATGTCAACAGCCTGGTACAAAACACAGTTTTGGTCCCTTTAGCTAATTTCAACATTCATGACAACTGTGCAGGGGAATGCATCTTTTTACAACTTACCCGTTTACATTTTATTAAGGCTTAGGGTTATGCATAATTAACGGCAGGCCGCACTGCGTGACAGGCTGTTTGCTGATAGTGTCCTTGGTTTCTCAGTCAGATCCACCCCTTATTCCTCCACAGCTCCAGCCTCTCGCCAAAATATTTTTAATTGATTTTTTTTAAAACTTGATGGTGGCATAGACCTTACTTTTTACGTTGATATTGCAATTTTATTCTTATTTCTACATCCAGCAGTTTCAGAGCAGCATGATGATTCATTAGGAGTCTTTGGGTTTGTTTCCACCTGATGAATGTATGTCCAATAATCACTCTTTTAGCTCTGTTTTTGGTCTCCACCAGCTCCTGAGGGAAAAATCTGTCTCTTTAGCTGCCAAATGCTCCATTATGTTCACCAGCTGGACACTAAGTGTGTGGGTCTGTTGTTTGCTGCTAAGCAGGAGGTGTACTGTTGCTTTTACATATTTTTGTTTGAAGGGAAACTATGAGAGCAATGAGTGAGCCAGAACAATAAACTTGTGGGCCAGGCGGATAAAAACTGAGCTAAAACTCGCTTTGAAGCTCTATAAAGGTGAGAGGAGCTGCAGATTCAGCTGATAATTCTCCAGAGGTTCATCACTATAAGCACTGTCATTGTTATTATTAAAATATGCATTAAAGTCACTTGACTTTGATTCTCATACTGTATAGTCATGAATATTTTAAGTTAAAGAGAAATACTTTAAAGTAACAGTGAGCTGCTTTTACCTTTGCTCTCCTTCGAGGTGCAGCAGCCTCCTTCAGCTCCTCCACATTTCTCCCTAAGGGACGACACCTCCCTCTCTAGCCTTTCTAGTCGCTCCCGCAGGGCAGCAAAGTCCGCCTCGCAACCACAAGACCCAGCTCCTAAACCTGAACCTGATGGAACCAGTTTGATCTTATGAGTCAGGACTAGAGGAGAACCAGGAGTCAGGTCGATTTCTTTACCTAAGAGACGAACAGGCTGAATTAAAACTTGGAGGAAAAAGGAGACTGAACTTCAGATGTTCCTCCAACCCAACAGACTCATACCAGCACTGATTTGAGTTGTAAGAAAAATTACATTTGTTGACAATATTTTTCAGCAATGTCAAACAATATTAAAATCAGAATGATTAATAGTGTAAACAAAATGTGTTGTGTTGTGCAGGTTTTTACCTCCCTGGCTGACATCAGATGAATCCCCCTGATTGGCACAGCCCTCTGAGATCACCACCTGTAACAAGTACAATGTGAGAGGCATCATAAGTACTTCTTTATGTTATGTTTGCTGCGTCCTAGCTCTGGGGCTACATCTTATACCTATCTCACCCCACAAAACTTCTCTTCAGTGCATTACCAGTCATTATGTATAAGTTTATATCAACAAATAGAAAATATTTATATTACTGCATTAATTAAGCACCCCACTGGTATGTAGTTCGGCTATGTGAGCTCAATACAATGTTGCAGAAATATCCCTAGCCAACAATCTGTCATTCTTTGAGGCGCAAGTAGCATTCATGTGGTGCCAGAATAATCTGAAAAATGTGTTTTTGATTATATGTAATTGCTCACCATATCAGTTTCCTTTACTGCTCGTTATCAACATGTTGTCAACAAATTTTGCTGGCCGATTAATTTCATCAGAAATTATTGCGTAATATTGTGTTTTTAAAACCATTTTTATTATTGTTGTAATTTTGCTGTTTTTAGACCATTTTTTAAACTTATGTAATGATAATAAAGGCATATTGATGCAAGTACACCCTTTTAAAGAGAAATAAATATTTAACGAGAATATTTAGGAATGCAAAAAAGAAATGTAAATATCTGAAATAACACGTAAAAATATCGAAATATATAAATAAATATACAAGAAAAACAGTCTCTCAGTCTCTCACTCTCAGGTGTGCAGTTAAGTCGGTCATATTCGCTCTTTTTGTTGAGATGGTTTTAGAACAAACCCGGCACACCGGCTCGTCCAAATTACTGGGCTCCCCTCTGTCATTTGGTTTAAATCCAAAACACTCCCACACAGGGGCCGTGGCATTTGGTTTAGGAACAAGTTCCTTGTCTTTCTCTGTTTTTTTTTCCTTCTCCACCTCGTCTCCCCCTCACGAAGATCGCACTATGTGTGTGTAGCCCATAGCCCCGCCTCCCCCACAGAGACAAAGACACTCAGTGACAAGAGCTTTCCCTCCATTCATTACGCTAATGAACCAACTCACCTGGCTGCCAGACGATGCATGGAAGTGAACGCTCTTGTCGTCCAGTCTCTTTGGTGGAGAGAGATGAGGAAAACAAACACGCATGGATATGGCAATTAATTCCTTTTAATTTACCGTGCAAAACCGACTTATCGCATATCGCGACAGGCCTAATTATGATTGCCATCCTGTCCCAATCACGTGATGAATAGTGAAACTGATTCCCATCCCGTGGGACGTGACCCGTGGGACTCCCGAAAAAATGCCAGCCTCTAGTCTGGATGCTCAGGGTAACAAAATACAACACATGTAGCATCCATGTTGTTTCCACATTATAATTTAAAGCTCATGAACACACTGAAGTCAGAGGAACGACCATCTAAGGAGCAAGTGAATGCACCATCAACCTTGGCTGGTGGAGTTTGATTTAAACACTTACATACCGGACACTAAAAAGAGTTGTTCAAAAAGATTAATTTGCTCATTTTCGCCATCACTAGTGGCAATTAAAAACTGAGCGGACAACTGAGGGAATACTAAGAGCTGTGACATTATCATCGGTTCAGTGCTAAAACGCCTCCTATAAACTGGCCTACCAGGGACACTGGAGCACTTCTACATCACTGCAGTAAGATAAGAAGTTAAACCACTGGAGGTAAGAGGGGGGGACATGTTAGTGGTCAGGGGCCATTTTATCATAATCATTTGATTTCTGATATAATATTCATAATTCTGAAATGGGCCCACTCGCTTTTGTGTTGGTCTAACACAAAACATACAACACACTTCATTAAAATGGACACAATCACAACATACAACATATATTCATGGCTCTCATCTACAGATCCACCCCCATTATTGCCATAAGCCCACAATACCTGCACATTAAAAAAAAAAGGGATGTATATGCCACAAGACACCTGGAGCATCAATATAATTTTAAAAAATAAAATAAAATAAAAAAAATAAAAAATAATAATAACTAGTTTTTAAAGTGGGGCAATGAGTATGTTCTTACGTTGATAGGTATTATTCCAATCAGAGGGAGCTTTAAATTTAAAGGCATATCTGCCAATTTCTTTGTTAGTTTTGGGAACTAAGAAATAAGGTTGCTTAGTATGTCTAAGTGAGTATGAGGAAATACATGGTGTCAGGTATTGTTTTAACGGGGAACTAAAACCCCTCTCTGGGCATTACTCCACCCACAGCTTGATTTTAAAAAATTCAGAAAAGATAGGCGGAGCTGGGGGGGGGGCGAGCGGCTGAGGAAGGGGGTGGAGTGAAGATTGTCCCTCCTGCAGGGAGAGGAGAGAGGGCTTTTCATTGTGCCCATGGTGGCACACGGGCAGAAGGGAAGCGGCCGGAGCTCAGCCGGTCCCCTTCTCCACACTTTGACTTATTTTATCCTACTTGGTTCTATTACTAGCTATTCTCTCTGCTCTACTACTCTCTCTGCTCTGATCCAACCTACTCTCTATCAGTTTGATAACTGCGGACAGAATGGTTTTATAGTAAGGGGAGGAGTAAAGGGAGGAGGGCAGGTTTAGCGTGGACGGTTAGTGACGTCATTCGCCCCGATAAAGAATCATTCGCCTCCAATGTAAATTCAAATGTAGTAACCAGGTTTCAAGCTGTAGAGGGCATGCCATACCACATTTTTAAAATAAAATGTAGAGTTTCAACAGTTTGCACTAAACTGTCAAGATTTTGAGCAGGATCAGTCAGTAACACTACTATACAACCAGAAACAATGATTATCAGCTGAAAAAAATGGTTTTAGGGTTTAGTTACTCTTTAAATGAGAAGGATCATTAAAGTGGATGCCTTTGAAAATGCACTGGAGCCAATGGTAGTGTGTTCGAGCTCGGTAACCAGTTGTAAATTTCATACATTGAGCAATAAGTGAAGCACTCCTTAAAGTCACAGATGCACCATTATTTTTCTCATTTGAAGAGGAGGAGCAGGTTTAGCTCAGTTTGGATTTTGTGAAGGAACATTTTAATGGCCTGAATCCTTTGATGGAAGTGGTCCCTAAATTCAGACAGATTTTATCTCTTCTTTAAATTCTGCCACTGGTAAATTCCACCAGTCCATCTATTCATCCAACCATCCACTGACTCACCTTGATGGAGTCCTGCTTGGCATCCCTCAGCGTCCTTTGACCTCTGACCTGTAACTCATGGGAGGTTGATGTGGTTAGGAGGGCGGGTGCAGCCAGGAGGAGGATGAGGAGGAGGGAGGGGATGAAGGGAAACATCGCTGGGGTCAGAGCAGGAAAAATTCCTCCTCAGGTTGTTTAGGAAAAAGAAGGAAAGAAGGGAAAGATGCTGGACTGCTCAGGAAACTTGAGCTGATTGAAGCCGTTAGTTTGGTTGAATTAAAGCTGGTTGTTTCCAAAGATGAACAGATTAGTAGCACTTGAGCTGCAGGTGAAAGAGATCTCTGTCAACTGCTGTCACTTCAATCAGGTCCCACAGAGGTGATGACATTTACCGCTCCTTTTTCCCCCCGTCTCTCCTCTGTGCTCAAGGGATTTTTCCCTGTCTGGAACAAAGACAGAAACACACATTTAAACCCACCTTAAAGGTTCACTTTAGCTTAGCCAACTCCACTTTGGTCACAATTAGCAGAAGTGGGGCCATTAGCTGTTTACAAGCCTGTCAGTGCAGCGTGTCAGCCAATAAACCACAACGGAAAAAGTAATTTGGTCTGAAAGAGTAATTTGTGATGATGGATCAGACTAAGGGCTGATTATTTAGACTAATTGTCATGCTGTTATTGGTTAATTTATTTAATAAATGAAGAGTATTTCATGAAATGGATCCTTATGTCTTATTATTTAAGCTGCTTTAGGCCTTGCTGGCCTTGATTCAATTGAAAAATCAAGCTAAAAATAAACTCATGTTTTATGAATACACTTTAAATATGTCAAAGTCAACATGTGTAAATCTACTAGTGTAATAACTACCTAAGAGTCTGTATATCAGTATACACTCACTGGCCACTTTACTAGGTACACCTTGCTAGTACAGGGGTGGACCCACTTTTGCCTTCAGAACTGCCTTAATTCTTCATGGCATAGATTCAACAAGGAGCTGGAAACATTCTCCAGAGATTTTGGTGTATGCCAAAGCGTGCCAAGAATATCCCACATTGTTACAAAACCACCACCAGCCTGAACCATTGATACAAGGCAGGATGGATCCATGCTTTTATGTTGTTTACACCAAATTCTGACCGTACCATCTGAATGTGCCAGCAGAAATCAAGACTCATCAGACCAGGCAACATTTTTCCAGTCTTCATTTTTCCAACCTTTATTTCCAATTTTGGTGAGCCTGTGTAAAATGTAGCCTCAGTTTCCTGTTCTTAGCTGACAGGAGTGGCACCCAGTGTGGTCTTCTGCTGCTGTAGCCCATCTGCTTCAAGGTTCGACATGTTGTTGGTTGAGAGATGGTCTTCTGCAGACCTCGGTTGTAACGAGTGGTTATTTGAGTTACTGCTGCCTTTCTATCATCTTGAACCAGTCTGGCCATTCTCCTCTGACCTCTGGCATCAACAAGACATTTTCACCCAGAGAACTGCTGCTCACTGGATATTTTCTCTTTTTCAGACCATCCTCTGTAAACACTAGAGATGGTTGTGTGTGAAAATCCAGGTAGATCAGCAGTTTCTGAAATACTCAGACCAGCCTGTCTGGCACCAACAACCATGCCACGTTCAAAGTTGCTTAAATCACCTTTCTTCCCTATTCTGATGCTCGGTTTGAACTTAAGCAGGTCGTCTTGACCATGTCTACATGCCTAAAGCCATTGGTTATTGGCATTAAAGAACAGCTAAACAAGTGTACCTAATAAAGTGGCCGGTAAGTGTAATTTACAAAGCTTCTTGCTCATGTCCTCTGGACACACCGTCTTGCAAACAATAATCTGTCCATTGTCAGTAATAAATCATAAATTGGTCGATTACATCAAGTTGACAAGCATGTAATCAGAGTTTTCAGCAATGGACAAAATGAGGGGTCTTCAATTCTTTTTTTAGGGCAAGGACCCCTTATTGTAGCTGAAATTGAGATGGAGCAGAGACCCCATATATTGTATAGAACTGAGCTGCATATTAAACTGGGCCCAAAGTTACATGTACAGTGGCCTTAAGTGTATATATAACAAATATATAAGTGTATAAGTGTATATATTACATATATATATATATATATATATACAGTACAGGCCAAAAGTTTGGACACACCTTCTCATTCAATGCGTTTTCTTTATTTTCATGACTATTTACATTGTAGATTCTCACTGAAGGCATCAAAACTATGAATGAACACATGTGGAGTTATGTACTTAACAAAAAAAGGTGAAATAACTGAAAACATGTTTTATATTCTAGTTTCTTCAAAATAGCCACCCTTTGCTCTGATTACTGCTTTGCACACTCTTGGCATTCTCTCCATGAGCTTCAAGAGGTAGTCACCTGAAATGGTTT